AATCAGTACATCGAAGAGAAATAGCTATATAAACGTGAGTCGTCGGCAATTTCTTAGTTTTTTAGATATATTTACAATGATACTATCGTCTGATAGTTTACATTAATTATCAACACGTTGATAATAAGTCTTCCATACTAGACAAATAGTTTTTTGACACTGTTGGCAGTCAATATTTTACAGTAAGTAAATTTTGTATCGTAGTTATAAATTTTTAACCTCAAATTGGGGATGGCTCTGTCTAATGTTCCACATACTGGAATATTTGAACTAACATATTTATAATGAGACTTAGAATATGGAACATGATAATAATTGGGGTATTTCCAGAATAATCAGTGCTGATGAATTTCATGAAGCTGACTCAAAATCACAATATGGGTTTCCTTTTTCGTACAAATTTCACATAAATTAAAGCAATTCTTCATCGACACTCTACCTCTAATATCACAAAAATATTTTAGAGAGATTGTTAATTTCTCTTGGATTCTTTTGTTTATCAATAATGTTGCGTTGGCCACCCTATATAATGTAAAGAAAAGCGAAAACAAACTTTCTTCAAACTTTGAATGTCCTGAGAGTAGGATCGATTTCCATAGAAAAAAACCAATTCAACTATTCGCGAAAATTTTTTTCATCCTCAGTTCACCAAAAAGATAAATTACCCAAATGAATAAAATTAATTGAATACAAATACAATTAATTTACGACTATAAAACTGAACTTGGACAAGATGAGTCGTGCTTTTTATGATGAAGAAAAATTCAAGACAATTTCGAAGAATAAAGCATGAGGACATCGGAGGCATTGCAAGAATTAAAATATGTACCTAGAGATGCAATGTTTCGCGTAGACTACTGTCAGCTAAATATTGTCGAAAAATATTCATCATTCATTTCATCTGCCACTTCTTTGAATCATGTTGTTGTAGAAGAATTTTTCGGTATAACTTATGATTAAACTATATCCACTCAACAAACAAAGCAACCCAAACAAAGATAGATGCGTGAGCAAAGCATGATCACCACGCACATTCGCTTCTATTGGTTAAAAAAACAAGTCTCCTCACGCTGGCCAATCAGATTTAACTGCAATCGGCTGGAGGAATTCATTGTTACAATTTAGAAATGATCGGTTACGTTTTAACGCCTGTGGTGTTAAGCAGAACACAGAGTCAGATGCTACAAATGCAATACGGATTTATACAGACGGCTCAAAAACCAAAGAAGGCTCAGGATGTAGAGTGTAATCCAGATCACTAAGCCTAAGGATTAAGTGGGGAATAGAAGAAATACCAGCGTGGTCCAAATAGAACTGGCTGGTATCTCAATCGCCACAAAATAAATAACCAAGAAAGGAATTTCTGGCAAAAACATAACAATCTGCACTGATAGCAGACAAGCACTAATAGCCTTGAACAGACAGCGTGTTACCTCAGGGCTAGTATTACTACCACCAAGATTTAGGGAAAGCCTCGGTAGATAATAACATTATCCTGAGGTGGGTTAAAGGGCACGACAGGAGTAAAGGTAATCGCATTGCCGACTCTTTAGCCAAGGAAGCGGCTAGACTAAGAATTTTAGGACCCAGTGGCACCCGCGGCCTGATGACTTCGACAATTGCGGAACTTTTCAAATGTTACACCAATGCTCAATCCTTAAAGAGATGGGATGGAATCAAAGGATGTAATCTTGCCAGGATCACCTTGGGCGACCCTGGGAAGCTGGCGCCGAAGAAATATCTGGCGATGACCAGGAAAAATCTACGCCTTACAGTAGGATTTCTGACTGGCCACTGTCAACTAAGGAAACACCTCTATAATATGGGGCTAGTGGACACACCTCTATGCAGGATGTGTAAATAGGAAGATGAGACTGTCAGGCATGTCCTGTGCGAGTGCCCGGAGTTATCGTCAATAAGAGAGTGTGTGTTCGGCGAGTCTTGGCCTACACCTGCCGATATATAGGAGATGTCTCCCAGCGACCTGTCTACCTTCCTGGAAAGGACAGGATGGACGATGACCTAGGAGGACAACTCCTCGGGAGGATGTACAATGGGTCACATGTGGCCTAAGTGCGTGGGCTTACACTCACCCTCCCTACTCTACAGATACAGATATCCACCCAGCAAACAAAGTAATCCAAACAAAGATAGATGCGTGATCAAAACATGCACAAAACACATGCACAAAACGCACATTCGCATCTATTGGTTAAAAAAACAAGTCTCCTCACGCTGGCCAATCAGATTCAATTGCAATCGGCTGGTGTAATTCATTGTTACAGTGTCAAAATAATCGATTACGTTTTAACGCCTGTGGTGTGTACAAATACGGTAATTTAAAGTTTGAAATTTTAAAAATGTCAAGTACTGATGCGGCTGAAGAAACTGCTAATTTGTGTCCCTGCACTCCGCCTAAAAAAAATTCCTATACCCTATAAAAATGGGTCGTTCCTTAGTGCGACTCTATACAAGCAGCCTTGTCTGGGAGATCACGTGCACTTTGTGTGATGATGTTTTGGAGCACTACATTGCTCAAATGGACTGAATTTCGATTAAATTCATCGTGACGGTAATACAACGTAGTAAAATTTTATCTACATAGTGTTTTGCTACCATTTTTATTCAAAATTCATTATTTTTCAAAATAAATAGGACCACCGGTAATGAGAAAGATTATTGAGAAGTCAGATATCTTTTCAATATAATTTTATTCAAATGCATATGCCCTCCATATTTGAATATTTTTAAAAACATTTTTTACTTATATCATAAGTTCACAAAAAAAAAAATATGGATAGATGTGTTTTTTCCGGTGACGTTATGTTATAAATGAAATGAGTACTTTGTTTTGTAATGCAATAAGGTAATAAAACAAGAGTCTTATTCCGAAGATTTACGTTCCTCAATTCTTCGGTTTTCCAAAACTTGTTGAAAGTGAATGGCGTTTGCTTGCTTGCTTTTGTTGTAATCAAATCGAGCATGAGGTTCGAAGGACGCTCAACATTATTCAAATTAATTCAAGGGTCATTGCCTCCACTCAAAAGGTGAATGAATACAAGTAAAAGACGATTCGCATTTCCGCAAACCATCGTATCCACCTCAAGTACCGTCGTCATGAATGAAACACCTACTTCGCATAAATGTCTTTCAAGCAGGTAATCCAACAGATCTGACACGCTAAATATACCGAGTTAATTTAAAACCACTTTTATAACAAATATTTGGATGTAATGAAATGAAATTCCTGGTCCACCCGAATCAGAAGCAGGAAGTGTCAAAATATCACGTTATGTAAACTTCAAGAAAGTTATTTTTGAGTGACTAATCGACGATATTTCCTGTGCCGATGTACAGGGTAGGTTCAAGAAGGATATGTTATCCCTATTGGGAGAAGAAGAGGTTGCAACGTACAGCGAGGACAAAAAATATTGTTTTTTGAAATTCGAAAAAAATACTGAAGAGTTACATTAACAGAAAATTAACTATTGCGCTTTCATATACAGGGTGTATCAACGATAGGTGGGTGGACGATAGCTGCTTCCCTATTAGAGATACAAAAAAATATTTCGGAAAAAAGTTGTAGAGATTAATGAAAATTAATGAAAGCTTTGTTCCTATAATCATTATTAATATACCAGTGTCCAAGAAATGTGTGACGGACCAAACTTATTTTTTTATTGGTTGAATTTCTTCGGCAGAGTGCTTCTCAAAAATATTAGGTTGTTTGGGTTTATACCGTGTGGTTGAGAAGTTATAGTGAAATTTCTCCTATTCGGTCAAATGGAATGAGGAATTGTTTCTACCAATTATCCTTGAAAATAGTTTCCATTTCGTCTTCATAAGTTTACTGAACGGTACTATTTTTATACAGGGGTAAACAAAACTCGGGATCAATTTTTCTTATTTTTTTCCAAATGGAACACCCTGTACATAGGGTTATTCCTGAATAGTCCACACTATGAGCTTTCAGAAAATGTAGATTTTGACTACTTTATTTCCATCAGAAATTTATCTTATTCTTGAGGAAAGTATGAAAAAATCGTTAAATAGAAGCAATGACATTTTTTCATTCTGTGCTAGACAAACCAAGTAACAAAATGAAAATAAAACATTTTGAACGCCAAAATTTACAAAAGATGTTCGAACAATCGTCCATTTTGAGCTATGCATAAATCAACAATTTATATTCGAACTTCAATTAAAATTGATCTTGAATAGACCGAAAAACTTTTCTAATCCTATTCTTTATGTCTTCTGGTGGCGTTGATTTCTCCTGATTGACCTCTCCTCCAACATATCCCCATAGATAGAAATCTAGAGACGTGAAGTCTGGGGGTCGTGCTAGCCAGTGAATGGGCCCATTTCTTCCAATCCATTTATTTCTTCGCCACCTATTCAAAAACCTCGCGCCATCATGTTAGTATAATGTAACCTATGCCTTGTGGCAATCAGTTCTTCCTTCAACAAATTTGATAACTACAGTGATAAATTTTTCGAATATTTAAAGCTCGAAGAAGCAAGATTTGTATTAGGAATACAACTTTTACGTGATCGATTGCAAGTAACAACTTCTATCGATCAAAGTACGCACCTCAAAACAATTTTGACTTGTTTTGGGATGGAAAATTATAATCCTGTTTCAATGCCGTCAGATCCAAACCAGAAATTATCGAAAGATTTACCCTACCGGGAAGGAGTTGGTTCATTATTATTCATCTTATATATTCATCTCAATCTGATATTTGTCATACAGTTTATGCTTTGAGTAGATACAAAAATAATTGGAATGCCGCAAAGAGAGTATTCAGATATTTGGGTGGAACCATTAATGTCAAATTGACATACGTCAAAAATGGAAATTGTGTAAAAAATTGGCAATTGAATGTTTTCTTTTTGTAGAGAACATTTCTCTGGAAAATATGAATACCTTTCAATGAAAAATATTTGAAAGATACAAGCTCAGAAAAAAGTTCAATTTTGTTTTTATATTTTTTCAGATCGAAAAGATGGACAGAAGATTGGCACCCTACCCAAAGGAAATGTGTATATAGAAGAAAGCAACTCCAAGGGGCAGTAACAGAAGAAATCTTTCCGAACTTCAACTTCATCGCTACAAAAAATTGTCATTGTTTAACCAACACAAAAGTTTTATCTTAACTGATTGTTGTAAATTAATATTTGCCATCATGTCTGTACAGTAAATTATATGTTTGTCAAGAAGTTACTTATATTAAGTAATATTATTAGTTAAAATCATGCAATGATATCTAAAAATGCCTAACTATTATTAAATCAATTCAGTTTTTCTGGAGTCACTTTTGTTTTCAAGATCCTTTTCAAATTGAATGGAATTATGTGGAAAAGTATTTCTTTCGTCAAACTGGAATATTTACCATTAGCGATCTTACTTATCCACGTGACTTCAAACTTCTGTGAGTTACAACAGTCAATTGTTTTTATTTGACGGGTCCAGGGGAAAAATGTTTATGTCCATTTGCATGTATTTTGTGAAAACGGAAAAATAAAGTTTGCCATCGAAAAGCTAGTAAAATTTGGGTTGTAAAATTTATTGAAAATAACAACTATCATGACCGTTATGAAAAAAATTGAAATTCTTACAAAATAATATTTACATATTAAAAGTGAATTTCCAGAAATCCTCTGGACAACAATATATGTTTCCTAGTAGATAGGTTCATCAGCGTCTATTGGCGGGTCATCCATGTATCCATGGAGTAGAAATTTTTTGAATCTACCCTTTGTGAAAACTGCTTTAGATGTTGCAGATCTCTGTATTCACCCAATTTGATTGCAACTGAGCCAGAATACGAATAGCTCAACGTCATCGCTGCAGTGATGCCTTTCTTTTTCATAGTTTTCTTACGTTTTTTTTTAATTGAAGACTTAATGAACACACGAACACACCATTAACTCAAATCCGACAAATAATGGACATAAACGTTTTTCCCCTGGCCCCGTCATTTCTTCTCCAAATCGAAAGTATCATCTATCTACAGTAAATCTGAGTTACAAATTCCACTGCGAAATACAATTTTTCTCAATTATTGTAATTCATTTCGAAAAGTTATTTTTCGTCTGTCTGCCGAGTTAGTGGGATGATTAATTTTATGGTGGGAATTCAAGAAGGCTATAAAACATACCTAATAACAAGTTTCATTCTGAAAAAAAATCAGTGTTTTGGGAATGATTGCATGGTATGGAACTATAACAAATAATCATCACTCACCATGTAATAACATAAATAACTGTTGAACAAATTAGGTAGCTGTCTTGCACGTTTACATGTTCTGATAGTGATATTTCACAACAATTTTTATTGTAGAGATTATCTCTCAGAAATGATGTAAAAGTATTCATTCTGAAATCAAAAATCTTAAGCACTGTGAGTTTTATACACCTTACCGTTAGTGATTTATTCTCATTCTCAAAAATAATGCTTTTCTCCCGATTGGAATACTATTAGATATATCTGAAAAAAGTTACATCATTCTAGGATTTTTAAATGCATATTTTTATATAATAAGCAGTACGTATACATGCACTTTAGACTAGCACCGTATTTACCAACATTCTTGTATGTTCACTCGAGGAAATCATCTCAAACGTTTTTTGTTAACGAAATATTCAAGGCATTTTCTGAGGTAACGTTCAGAATTCCGACTAGGAATTGCAAAATATTCTCAAGAGCTTGTCTTAAAGTATTGTTTCTTCTTTTTTCTTGTGAAGTAGCACGACCTACTTATAACCACTCGGTTTCTTTTATCTATTTCCTTTGTGGAGGCAGATGTGAGAATTTTTGTGCAATTATTCTGGAGGACAGTTTCGAGAGTTACGGTAAACAATATTTTTAACACGAAGCAAGGGTTTCTAGAGGCACGTCATTGAAAATTAAAAATACTTTCTATACTGCATAAAAATCCTGATACTAAGAATTGAGCATTTCAATGTGTCTTTGATATGTCAAAATATTCTTGATAAACTTTTCTCATATTTTCTCAGCATTGTCTCAAAAAGGTGGAGTCATGTAATGACTATTTCAAATAACCATAACAATGTCTGAAAAGTCTATACAACTCAGATGCGGTGACCTAGAAGGTGACCTAGTGGATAGACATTTAAAATTTCTAATTATTGATAATGAGTCTCACTCAGCAATGCGTAGGAGCAGCTTTTTATATTGCGTAGTGCTCAGGGAATGCTCATCGATGAAACTGCAATAATCGTACATGTTCCACTGAAAACTATCCAACAATTTTTAGTCAAGTGACTGTTTGTCAAAAAAAATACTGTTGATGTATTGTAACTGTATCTATATTTTGCAGTAAAAGTAGTAGTATTTAGTAGTAAGAGAAACCGAGTAGGCAATATTTACAATAAAGTGCACCTTGAACACTGAACACTTTTTTCTATAAACTTTCTTTGATAAATGTATCATTCATCAACTGTAAAGTGTACAATGATTAACTCAAGATGTTTTCAATTCAAGTTTATTGTTTTTTTTTCAATAAGTACCTACGCTATCAGCAATATAGTAACAATAGTATCTATTCTCTAATTACCTCCATGAATATGTTGTAGATAATTGAATGTATTTATTTAAAAATATATGTATGTATAAATTATTGCCAATAAAATGTTATTTATTTAATTTCCATATCTTTCATTTTCTATTGACTCTTGATTCATACCTATAGTTACTGTGCAGAACGGATATTGGAGGAACCTTCCAATTTTGATAATTTATGATGAACTGAAATTAGAAATGAGATTGAAAAGATCAAGTACCGGTAAGGATATGGTTCATATTAGTTCAAACCGCATAAACAACAAAAACATATAATTCAATGTTTATATGAAAGTAGCTGTTTCAGGAGGACTTTCTTTCAGTTTGTATCTGAAAGTTACTTCTTTGCATGATCTACACATCCATGTATAGAGTTACTTCCTTCCTTTCTTTGGAAGACTCTACTTTCTTTCCCAAAAATATCCCACTAGTACCACAGAATAGCAGAATAATGTTGCTACAATCAATTTTGAAGTCATGAGCCTTCGATGCTGAATTAACACGAAATATTGAGTTGTTTCAAAAGTTTTGTCCGTTTTTATAAATCTGCTTCACGCAGTAATACTTCATAAATTTAATCGAAAGAAGAGGCATTTAAATCACTGTGAATTTGCCAACATAACACAGGTCAAATAATTACATCAGCACAAACATCGCGTACTCGGAATTCGATGAAGTCGACGAAGGCCGTTTCTGCATGCTCCTGATTGGCGAAGGTACAAACGGTGAGAAAGTTATCGAGATATTCGAAAAGGTGGTAATTGGTTCGAAGGAGGTCTGGAGAGTATGGTGGATGAGGCAGGACTTCGACGCTCAACGATTTATTTCCAACAGGAGTAACCAGTTACAGGAAATGTTATTATTATAGAGTATATATGGAATAAATATTAAAAATAATGGAATATAGAAATGTATGAAAGTAAATGCTAAAACCAAGTATATATAAAATATTCGTATAAGTAGAATTTCAAAGACAAATGAAAAATTGAGTATATAACACAAAAAGTTACAAATCAATGTAACAGTACTGACACAGTAGTTATTTATAGTATTATCGAAAGTGATTGTGGATACAAGATACCAAGGCGTTCAGAGAGTCGAAATGTATATCGCAATGTTCACAGATTTTATTGAAGCTACTGCACATATANCTGAGTAGGAGAAATAACTTTTTGAATATGGGAGTACATAACATTTTGTACACATATCTCGGAGAGTTTAGAAAAGTTACATAAAATTGAAATTGCCCTATAGTTTGTGATATCGCTAGACTCGCCTTTTTTTATTATCGGACGAATTCGAGCCGTTTTCCACTGCTCAGGGAAGGCACAAGTTGATAAAATTAAGTTGAATATGCCTATTAGAGGTATAGAGATAACGACGATACAGTCCTTTATCAGAAGACTAGGAACATTGTCAACGCCTGCGGTGAGTTTATTTCTTTTTTTTTTTTTTGAAGCGGTAATAATATCGATTTTAGAGAAGGCAGGGATGTATCTAAATCAAATTCATGAGAATTTTCACGAAGTATATTCTCGTCCGAAACCAAGTATACACTTCTGAAGAACTTGGCGAATCCATTGACAATATCCCCAGGATGATGAGGTACATCATCAAGTTTCATTATACCCGGTATACGCGAATGACCTTTTTTACTGTGTATGAAAGACCAGAAAGTCGAGCTGTCAGATAAAATATTATTTTCAGCTAAGTTTGTAAATTGACTATATGCTGCTTTTATTTTAGTTTTGACAGTTTTTCTCAGATCCTAGAATTGATTTTGATAAAATGCTGTTTTAATTTCTTATAGTTTTTATATGCTAATTCCTTTTTCTTTATATGGTTGATAACATCGGCGTCGAACCAGGGGGGAAATTTACGTGTTTTAAGTGTTTTTAATGTTCTTAGTGGAAATGTTTGAAAGAAGATGCTGTGTAATTTTTGATATAATAAATCTCTCTAAGAGCGGTGCCTGTGTGAAAGTAGTGACACACATTGGATTAGAATCGCTGGAGATTAAATACATTCGGAAAAACGTTCTCAGGAAGTTTATTCCACGCATTTCTCCAAATGAAAGAGTTCTTAAGCTGTGAAGTTCGAGATGTACCGAGTTGAACCTCAAAACGATGAGCAGTCATAGTCCGTTGCGTATTTCTGATATGTACCGCTCTTGGTGGAATCAAATGTGCCAAGTCACTTGAACACCTCCCGTGAAAGTATATATCGAAGAGAAACAAATCCCCAACCTTTTTTCGATGTTCCATACTATCAAGGTTGCAAGTGATGTTCGTGTCTCCAATCAAGCGGATGGCTATTTTCTGGATGGAAAACAACAGTTTCAGAGTATGCTTAGAGGCGGGGCTCCATACATGAGCACAATACACCAAAGAAGGTCTGACCTGAGCTTTATAAAGCATCAAAAGTTGATGAGGTGTGTACAGTTTTCTGGTTCGGAACAGTATTCCAAGCTTTTGAGAAGCAGCATTTGCAATTTCAGCGACATGATTGTGCCAAGACATATTGGTGTCCATTGGTGTCCCCAACAAACTTATGGAACCTGGTTACTTTCACCCCAATTGAAAAATAATTTTAGATCCTCATTAAGATATGCAACCTCCTGCTGCCGGTGAAGATGTGCATCCATAGCCGATCTCCTAGAATCCAAATGAANTGAAAACTTTAAAATCACGTTCACAATACACCAAAGAAGGTCTGACCTGAGCTTTATAAAGCATCAAAAGTTGATGAGGTGTGTACAGTTTTCTGGTTCGGAACAGTATTCCAAGCTTTTGAGAAGCAGCATTTGCAATTTCAGCGACATGATTGTGCCAAGACATATTGGTGTCCATTGGTGTCCCCAACAAACTTATGGAACCTGGTTACTTTCACCCCAATTGAAAAATAATTTTAGATCCTCATTAAGATATGCAACCTCCTGCTGCCGGTGAAGATGTGCATCCATAGCCGATCTCCTAGAATCCAAATGAAATGACGAGATAAGTGTGCTGTCGTCAGTAAAGCAATGTATTGGATTCTTGTTTTTTTCCAATAAGTCGGTGATATACAATAAAAAGAGGGTTGGAGTTAATATGTATTTCTGGGAACACCAGCGTTGGTAGAAAAAATATTCGAGAGATAACCATCGACGCTCACTTGCAGGAAACGTTCTTTCAGGAAGCTGGATAGCCATACACAAAAATGATCCGACAAGCCATAGCATCTTTCTCGATTGCGTTGTTCTAAATATGGGTGACATACGATGGAAGGTCGCCTGTTAATCTTTGTTTCCTAAAACCATATTGATGATCGCTCAAGGTATTGAAGCCTTCCAAATATTCAAGGATATGGTGGTTTGCAGCTTTCTCCATGATTTTTTATATCACTGACAGCAAAGCGACTGGTCTATAGTTACCTATTTGGAAGAATGTTCTTGCCCTTTTCGGGAATAGGCTTAACGCGAGCAATCTTCCAACAAGAAGAAAAACCCCTTTCTAGTAAGACAGGTTGAAAAGTCTGCCAAATACTGCTGCGAGTTCATTTGTGCACTTTTTAAATACGATGACGGACACTTCATCAGGGCCTTCTTGATATTGAGCTGTCTCAAAATTCGCCTGACTAGTGGGTAGTGCCTTTCCCAGAAAATCCACTATGGAGTGGGACGCAAATTGTTCAGCTAATAGATTTCCTTTTACTATGAGTGCTGTTGCAATTGAACCATCCGCTTGTGTAAGTGGTGAAATTGTGGATTTTATGAAGTTTTGGTTAACAGCTTCAGCCAAACATTTAAGTGTTCATAACTGTACATTTTATATAATGTAGGCATGAACAGAGTGTTTTAGTTTCGGACCGGACAAGTGCAAATATTAAAGAAAAGCGAAAACAAAATATGTTACTAAAGTATGGTTAGAATTTAGGACTTTTTAAAAAATTATTTGGTTGGCCAATTTTCTACAACTTGTGCATGTATTCCATGGTCATGTATAGTAAAAAACTTATGCTAACTGTCTATTGCTTGTAACTTTTGCATTCCGACGAGGAAACTTTCCTGATGAAATTAATTCTGTCATCAAAAAAGTGAAACGAATGCAAGGGAAAAAATAAATAAACTTTTCTAGTCGACATACAAGAAAATTTATAATCGCATTGAGTTTCATCGTATCGTAACAATAAACTGGGTAGGTATATATTAGTTTAGCTGAACTTGAAATCTCTACTCTCAATTATCATGAAATGGTAAAAAAATCACTTAAATTGTGGCAGAGTTTGTACCAAAAAATCTACTGTATCTCGTTGAACAAGAAGATATACGTCAAAAACTCGAAAATTTCTAATTTTATTTTTGACTGTAACTTTCTTCGCAGAGATTTTGGAAATTTTAAACTCAACATTGTCACTCGAACTTTCAATTAGATATCAAAATATGTTCATACAACATAGAGTGTCCGACTTGGGCAAGCTTCAGAATTTTAAATACGAACCGAAAATTGTTAGTAAATTTTTTGAACGGTAATATTCATGTAAGCAATATGTATGTACCAAAACTGATTCTCAAAACATTCATTGACTTTTCACCAAATACCTGAAATGTGAGGTTGTTCCACGTCGTACAACCTCCAGTAGTTTAACAAAATCTTGGTCTTTTTGTTCTTCCCCCTTTTTGGGTTTCATTGATTACTATTGGCTAAGATCTCTAGCGGTAGTCATTCAATGAAAAGCTACACCTTAAGACCATTACAAAATATAAAGAGAAATATGAATCGATGTTATAATAAAAAGAAAACATGTGTTGACTTTCATCTCATGAAGGAACTCATCTTTCTCACTTTGAAGCTTATATGGAGTTCCTGAAAAATATTTTTCATGCAATTCGTAAAAATAGAAGATATCAGGAAAATCAGATACATATTTTGATTTCCCCATTATCTTCGAAACTAAAAACAATATTTTCATTGGTTTCTGTAATGAACAACTTCTGTTAGAAACTCAATATGGGTGTTGAATGGGGAGAAATGAATTCATTTACAGGGTCAGAAATTCTCAAAACTCAAAGAAAAGTTTATGTTGAGCTGCTACATTCATTTTTA